CAATAAAGTATTATATTCATTTTTCATAGCATCGAGCCAATTTTGATGACTTAGAGTAACTCATGGGTAAGGGGGATGGGAGAGATGCTCTAAGTGTGAAGAGTGAAGATGGTCTTTGGTTTAAGGATCCTACTCTTAGAGCGAGTGTGCGTGTGAAGAGCATAATTTCAAATGGAATGAGCTAGGGAGTCATGTATAAGAGATGTACGAATCATGTTATTTACAGTTTGTATGATACGTTCGGCTTTACCATTTTGGGATGAGGTATAGGGACATGTGAGGAGAATTTTTATGCTATTTGTAGAGCAAAATTGGTGGAAAAAGGTATTGTTGAATTCTCGTCCATTGTCGCATTGAAAGGATTTAATTTTTGTTGAGAGTTGGGTTTGTATGAATTTATGAAAGTAAAGTAACAAAGTGAATGTTTCAGATTTGGCAGGGAAGGTCCATATGTAATGAGAGTAATCATCAAGAAGGACAAGATAGTATTTGTGTCCAAGGGTACTAGGTATAAGTGATGTCCAAATGTCAACATGTATAATATCAAACGATAAATAAGTAATAGAAGGTCGTCGGAGGTGGAGGGCGGCGACTACGAGTTGTGGTCAACAGTAAGATTTTTAACCAAAAGCTCTAATACCATAAAGTTTGGTATCTCTCTGTATCGATCTTCTCATTAAAAAAATGGGGATATAAATAGAATGTGATCCCTACAATTATGGAAAAGATATACACAATATATTACATTAAAATAATCACAAGATAATATGGGAAGTATATCGTGTAAGAATTAGGAACATCAACCACTTCAGTCTCGACTGTCATAGCTTTGGTTTCTTCTTTAGTTTATCTAACAACCATAAGGTCTCTATAAGAGTTGAGTAACATTGAGTGGCATGAAGCACAAACTTGTTGGTAAACCTGATGACCTATGGGGATGTTGCTCAAAATAAATTAAACTAAAATCTCAAAAGATAAAACCATTTTTAATGAGTGTAAAAAATAATAATATATGCACTTATAAAGCATGGTCATAAGAAGTGAGAATGCCTTGACGAGGGTACGAGTAGCTATGAAACTCTTAACTAGTGCTCTACCTCACAAGATGCATAATATACTATTGTAAAGCTTAAAAATCTAGAAATTGTTGCACATAAGAGGGTGAAAACTATTAATGCACTAGATATGGATCCATCATAACCTTGCTCAGAAACAATGTATGTTGTTATCATAATGTATTAGAATTTAGGATAAATTAATCACTAATTATCATCATACTAATTTCCATACATATGTCGTAGAATTGCATTTCCATCATATGCTTCATCTTTTTCTTATGATGGAGCCTAAGGTTTCTAATTCTTGTAGGTCATGTATACACTTAGAAATTGCAATACACAAATGCACCACTGAATCACCTCAAGCAATTGTAACCCACATCTCTTTAAATGTTGCATCATCCCCACCCGCCCCTCCTTTTACTATTTACCTTAACTTTTGACCCATATTTATCGCTTGATCTCACCCTCTGTTTGACAACTTTGTTTGAACCATCCACATGGAGCTCCTATTTGAATCAGCTCTATCAAATCCAACTCAAGCACAGATTCATGATGGAACCTGACAATCATGTAGAACAACATATGAATATTAGAATAGTTTATTTGACTTGAATAATAATATACTAATTACTCATAACTAATAAAATTAAATTGATGCATATGTTAATTTGCTAGTGCCACACTCAAAAAGAGCAAGACAAAGGCTCTAGATATCAACTAGATATGAATGACTTTCATTTAAGTTCCGACAAATGTACCACACTGAAAACAGGATCTACAAATATTCCAACCACATTTATTAATAATAATCAGCTTGACAGATTATATTTTATAGAAAAAGATGTTCAAACGAAAACACTTACCATTGCCATGGAATTTTTTAAGCCAACTTTTACCTAAAAGTCTATAATTTTTGGTTCTCCGTGTAGATTTACAAGCAAATTTGCATGCTTTATGTCTTTGTGGACCAAGTATCTAACTCCATGCAAATAGCTTAGTCCCTCAAGAATAAATATATTAATAAAATATATTATAAAGACCCATGAAACTTAGGATAAGAAGATTTACATGGAAAAGTTTTTGAGCCATCAAAGAAAGGACTGCTTTAGGTATACATCGTTCTCTTTTTATAACATACCTAGTGAGCCCCATCCATGTACTTTAGAGCCAGAAGTGTAAAAAGCTCCATAAAATTCTAAAAGACCAGTGCAACCCATTGTAGTCCTCGAGACACCATTAAGCTTTAGCACCACAAGTTTATCTAGCACTATCGGATTGAGCAACATCTGCACCAATTAACTCAATAATTTCGCATAAAATACATTGATGGTTCCAAGTTCTACCGGATACTAATGTGCATAGAGTAGAACCAATTACCAATCAAAGATAAAACTATTACACTTTATAATAGAAAGATATGGACTCATAATATGAATTTTTGTTTATAAACATGAAGGACATCTTTTTTCTCTTATTAATCAATGTATAATTACCATCAGAAGTCGTCATTGGCTTTCATCCTCCTGCTCTTTACTCAGTTTACTTGATCCTTTAATGATCCTCTTATGGCAATCCCCTGTCTAGCTATGTTTTTTGAAGTAATCTAAATGCCGCTTTCCAAAACAGATAACCCAATTTCAATTATGTGCCAACTGCAATTTTAATCAAATAATATACAACTCAATTTCGAACTTCATAGAAAGTAAATGAATATAGATTTTCATCAAACACTTGGTGGACAGTGAGATTATGTATGCCCCAAAACCTGCAAGTAAGGTCTCAATGTAAATGGAAACAAAATTTGATTTTGATATTTTTCTATATCATGATATTATTAGCCTTGTAAATTATAATCTAAGAACACCCTTTTAACTATTATTTCATTCTTTTCATTTTCCAAAATAAAAAAAAAAAAAATAGTAAATAAAAAGCCCAACAACAACAACACATTCTTGGAAACAAAATATAAATGAAATAAAACTCTTATAAAACAATTATAAATGAAATAAAACATTTAAGAGGAAAAGCCTTTCTACACGTACTATAGTAGTCAAAATCAATTGAAGTATGTTCATTAGAAGCATGTCCATTTTCTTAACTTTCATTCTTCCATCCATCTACTTTCCCATTTGCCCATTGTTGTAACTCTACGGAAACATGATACAATTTCAATGAACCGCAAGAAAATGCACCAAAGTTGATAAAGGTCTAAAATAAACAAATCAAGAAAGAAATGCAGAAATTAAGGAAGTCAAGTAGCGAAATCGAGAAAAAAAATGTTGAAATTAACATGATACAGATTCAATAAAAGGCAACAGGCATCCGATGTACGTCGATATTGGTTTAGGTTGCGATTCACTTTAAGGGGTTGCAATTCTCGAGGGTGATCTATTTCTGAATGTGGCGAGGGTGTCCGTTAGCCTCCTTTTTCAGTCTTCATCTTTCTCAACCTTTTATGCCTGGAATTGAATCCGAAGAAGCGACCATTGTAGAGTGATTTCCGTGAAATTGACAAAAAAATATATAATTCATCAAATCCCAATGATTAAAAGAGGAACACAAATCTTGACCACCCGATGTTAAGAGGAATTGAAATTGCAATTAAAAGAACTAAAGAAATTACTTGGTGTCCTTGTCGTTAGGGATCTGCTTGGATTAATATCTAATGCTTGGATTAATATCTAATTGGATTAACATCTCTCGCCGATATCAGTTGAATACGGAGTACTTTGTGCTGTAGCCTTGAACTTGCAACAAATTTCAACTAAATCAAACAGTCTGTCGTAAACGGGAAAGAAAAGGTCCGAGGGAGTTGAGGGTCTTTCTTATACTATAATCAAAGAAACCTTTATACACATGGGGTGTTTGAGATTGCGTTTGAAAAGTGCTTATTGAGTTATTGGCTTTTTGAAAAGCTAATAAGTCAAAAAAAAAAAAAAAAAAAAGTGTTTGGCAAACTCAAAAGCACTTTCGGAATAGCGTTTCCATAAGCATCAATAAACACTTTTTAGTAAGCATGTAAAACGTGGCTTTTTTAAACCGCTTATGGCTTTTCAACTAAAATAACTTCAAAAAGCACTTTTTAAGCAATACACTTTTTAACTTATTGACTTATTTGGTTTTTCACTATAAAAATTTATCCAAACACTTTTTAAAAAACTCATTTTACCATCAGTATAAGCAAATAAACACTTCTATCTAAAAACATTTTTAGAGTTCGAAAAGCACTCCGAAACACCCCCACAATCGCATAGCCAAGAGACAAATAAGGGGGAGATCGGGGAGGAGTTATAGAGAAGCGAAACGTGGGTGGTAGGGGAGTCATTGACAGGAAGCGCAGAGAACTGCCGCAAAACTGTAAATGGTGAGTTATTACAGTTGTGATTGAAATTTGGGGGAGCTTGAACGGATGTGATCTTCAAAACGGTAATTTTCTACTGACCGACAACAATAGTATAAAGAATAGGAACCTATAACAGTACGACTTGTATAAGAAAATTGGCTAATAGAAAGAATGACATATATTTGTTACAAAACAATTGGCGAACAGAAATAAAGCTGGAGAGAGCCAATTATATAATATATATTGCATTTATATCACTCTCAATGAACACGCACACCCCCACAAACATACACACACAGATAGATAGTGTCGTTTAAGGCTTTTTCAATATATATTGACAGCTTTTGTTTTGGTTAGTTTTATACAAATTATCGACTTATATATAAATAAGTTTTGATTACATAAAACAAATACAATTGGAGTCTATTTTTTATTTTCGCAAGGGACCTTCAAAATCAAACATCTGTTTCTGTTTCTAACGACAATATTAATCACTAGATTACACAAAAATACCACAATAGTTATAATAATGCTAAGACCACTAGACGTAAGCTTGGTTTTTGATATTAGGAACGACCTTTGTCAAATTTGTTGCTTCATGATGATTGGGTTTTGACGATGGATGCATCGCTATATGAAGAAGAAATGGGCGAAGACACATAAGAGGCCACTGGCATCTTTGAGGGGAGTATAGGTAGGGATGCTTCTGAGTTTAGTACTTGAATTGCTTGTCTCATTGATGGACGAAAATCAGAGTCAGGGTGCACACACCATAACCCAAGGATCATCAACCGCTTTACTTCTTCTTCCTCAAAATCTAACCCTAAACCTGGATCAACCGCTTCCAAAAGTGTCCCGCTCCCATAGAGCTCCCAAACCCATTGTACTAATCTTATTTGTTTTTCCGGAACAAAGTACTCAATGGGTTTTCGCCCACAAGCTATTTCCAGTGCAACAACTCCAAAGCTGAATACATCAGATTCTTTGGTTGCTTTCCCAGTTACTACACATTCTGGAGCCATGTAACCCAAGGTTCCAGCCAACATTGTTGTCTGTGAGCCTTTCTCGTGGTCCACCAACTTAGCTAACCCAAAGTCGCCAAGCTTAGCATTGAAATTTGAGTCCAACATCACATTACTCGATTTGATATCTCTATGCAAAACACATTGCTCCCATTCTTCATGTAGATACATTAAAGCAGCGGCAAGCCCACGGGCTATTTTATACCTTGTCCCCCATGTCAACAAGCTTTTTGCCTTAAAGAGATGTGAATCTAAACTTCCATTTTCCATAAACTCATAAACAAGGAGGAGCACACCTTTCTCGTGGCACCAACCTATGAGTTGGACAAGGTTTCTGTGCCTCAATCGGCTTATGATCTTTACTTCCGATGCATACTCCTTGATCCCCTGTTTGGAACTCTTTGACACCCTTTTCACTGCGATATACGTGTTGGAATCTTTCAAGAAACCTCTGTAAACCCCACCAAAACCTCCTTCACCAAGCTTCTCATTCTCGGAAAATTCACTTGTCGAATGAGTTAATTCTTGGTAAGAAAATCTTTTTGCTCCGGTGCCTATTTCGAATTCATAGTTCATATCAATATCAAATCCGAGTTCATTATCTTCATCTTTCAGACTTTTCTTTTTCTTCCACCTCCATAGCACAAAGGCAAGCACAGCAAACAAAGCAACTGCAACCACTAATGGAATTACCAATCGCACCATGCTGTTGTTGTGATCCACTGGATCTTGGCTGGGGTTCGAGGTCATGTTCGGGTTCGGGTGGGGGCGCAGGCTCACTGTTGGGTGTGGGTTTGTTGACATTGTCTTGTTTTCATCAACCTGTAAATCAGAACTCGTGAAACTCCAAGATTTTACGTTATTTTTCTCAAATAAATCTCCAGTTGCAGCTGAAAACCCGAAAATAACCCATTCTGGCAACTCATTCCTGAGATCAACTGTGTACACAAGCGGCTTATCATCTTTAAAACCAGTGAAAGAAACGCTAAGATTTTTTGAAACAGAATCATATGTTATCCAAGCTTGACACACCTCCCCACCAGTTATATTACTACGCCAATCATGATGCCTAACAGAAGTAAGAGAACTAATACTGATACCTACATGGTCACCTACTGGGTCCCAACCATCATCAAAATAAGTATCGAACTCTACTGCAACAAACGGGTTTGTGGCAACAATGGTTGTTGCGTTGACCGGAAGCCCCATGGCACCACCGCGACATATAACGGAATTATTCTCTGCCAGGAAGAAGGTGAGGCCATCAGCATAAATTGAATCCCCATATGAATCAATCTGGAAGGTGAAATTGGTAGAGAAGCTTGCAAGCTCTTTTGATCTGTTGTCCCAAAGATGAAATGGTTTGATGTATGTAGCCCTGCCTGCTTTCTGACTGCGAATAGAACCAATTCCATCTGGGGTCACCTGAATTCCACTGTCGGAGATATAAGCTCCATCGCCTTCTGTTCTTATGTCCAGGTTCTGATTCTCTGGACGGATATTTGGCAAATTAAAGGTAATTGAAGCTGCATTAGGGATCAAAACCAGCAGGATGTATGTAATCAGATGGCTTCTTGACCTTGAGACGACCATGACCTTGGAAACTTGCTACAAAAGTTGTTCTTGGCAATTAAAGAAATATGCATGAATGAGGAAGTGTGCTAGCAGCTTGCCTATACCAGCGCAATAGAGAATACTTTTGAAAATGAGTATTGACTGGGTCGGATCCAGTCTATAAAGAGGGGGGCCTATCAGGTCTTGATATTCAATACGTAGTAGGTGTAAGGAGAAAGAACAGTGAGACAGAAAAAGAACCATAATAATGACGGACTCTGATAAAAACCCACTAAAGGTATATTCCAGGAAAAAGAATCGTATGACAGCTACCAATATGGGGCAATTGAATTCTATTTTTGGGAATTGGCTGAATCCACTAGGCCAAATCAATTAAATGGCAATTGGCTGGAGTTACCCAAATCAAGGGGTGGTTATCAAAGGAAGTGGGAGGAATTACCATACGTAACCTTAGCAGCTGCCATATTTAATATTAAGAATAGAGTATTATAAATAATAGGTTTGCTTATTAGTTGAGTATCACATATTACTCATATTTATCTTTTCCTGTAATTGGAGACCTTGCCCCTCTCGAATCGGGCCATTTCTAATAAAAAGCTAGCCTACCTCTATTCTTAACAACCCTGTTCATATCATTTGGTTCCATTGCCGGGAAATAACATGGTGCAAACCCGGAATAGCGACAACAACCCACCCGATCCCATTGCCACTCAATTGGCTGCCATAGCAGCAAAGCTGGAATCAATTGAAACAATGAAGGAAGATATAGCAGCCCTGAAAAAGCGGGAATGGTCCAGCGGGAGCAAGAACGACGAGGGGGAAAGCAGTTGGAGGGGTCGAATGCCACATAAACCCTACAACAAAATTGATTTCCCAACTTTTAGTAGCGGAGACCCACGTGGATGGTTGCTGAAAGCCGAAAAATACTTCAGGTACTATCAGATCCCGGATGAAGAAAAGGTGGAGATAGCTTCAATGCACTTAGAAGGAGATGCCTTGGACCTCTATTCATGGTTATCTGATGATCGTCCGATCACCTTCTGGGAAGAATTGGTCCAGGTATTTACAAGAAATTTTGGCCCTGCTGAGTTTCAGAACCCTGATGAGTTCCTATGCAGCATTAAACAAACTGGTACAGTACAAGAGTATCGGCAGGAGTTCGCTAAGAGAACCTCTCGGGTTTCAAATTGGCCAGATCACTGTCTTTTAGGAGTATTCCTAAATGGCCTAAAAGATGAACTAAAATCAGATTTACGAATTCACAAACCCCGTACGGTATATAGTGCCATGAGTTTAGCTTTGGAATTCGAATCTAAACTCACTTGTCATCGATCGGGGAAAAATATCTCGGGAACCCCAAATTCGAAACTCTCACAAGCAGATCCTAAACCGACCTCTTTTATCCCAGCCCAAACATCAAACCAATCAAGAATGTTCCAAGAATTTCCGAAAATGAGAAGCAAAATCGATTTCTAAAAGGGGAATGCTTTAGATGTGGCGAAAAATATGGACCAGGTCATCGTTGCAAAACCGGTACACTCAAGGTTTTAGAAGCTGATGAAGCCATTGAAGAATCTCCTACAATGGGTCTAACTGATCTTGATTCTGACCAACAGGAGACTGCTGAAATTAGCTTACATGCTATTCTGGGAAAATCGCAACCTACCACAATGAAAATCCATGGTATGCTTCATTCTACAGAAGTTTTAATTTTAATAGATGGCGGATCTACACACAATTTTATCTCAGATGTCTTGGTGAATGAACTTAAGTTGCCGACTCAACCGGTAACATCTTTTGGTGTTCAAATCGGTAACGGAGACCTAATTCGATGTGGTCAAATCTGAAAAAATCTTTCTGTACAGATTAATGACCTCAAGATCACTCAGGATTTTCATCCCTTCTCTCTTGGTGGAACAGATCTAGTTTTGGGTGTTCAATGGTTAGCTACTTTAAATACGGTTCAAGCTAACTGGAAGGAATTATTTATGATCTTTTCAATAGATGGAAAGCGATATAAGCTACAAGGCATTTCATCCGGTCCTCAAAAGTCATCCAGTTTCCAACACCTAGCCATTGAACCAGAAACTACCCCTTGTATACCCCTCCCATTGCAACCTGTTGTCAACCAATACACCACCATCTTTGAAGAGCCTCAACATCTACCCCCGATTCGATCACAAAACCATTCAATCCCACTTATGCCAAACTCCACTCCACCTAACATCCGTCCTTACCGTTATCCCTATTCCCAAAAAATGAGATAGAAAAACAAGTGGAACAGTTGATAGCCGCTGGTTTTATTCAACCAAGCACCATCCCTTTTTCAAGCCCTGTACTACTAGTGAAGAAGAAAGATAATTCTTGGCGCATGTGCATCGATTACCGAGCCCTCAACAAGGTAACTATTGCCGATAAATATCCGATCCCCAATATTGACGAATTACTCGATGAGCTGCATGGTGCTACAGTGTTCTCAAAACTCGATTTGCGATCGGGTTATTATCAAATTAGAGTGGCAGCCCCGGATATCGAAAAAACGGCATTTCGCACTCACTCGGGTCATTACGAATTCAAGGTCATGCCTTTTGGCCTAACTAATGCTCCTTCCACATTTTAGGCTATCATGAATGATTTATTCCGTCCATACTTGCGACGTTTCATACTTGTGTTCTTTGATGATATTTTAGTTTATAGTCCAAGTATGGAACAACAGAAATTCCATTTGGAACAGGCCTTAAAATTACTTCATGACAACCAATTTTTTGCCAAACTATCGAAATGTTGCTTTGGGCAAGAACAGGTGGTGTTCCTTGGGCATGTGATCAGCTCGAAAGGAGTTAGTGTGGAAGAAGAAAAGATATCATCAGTTAAATCATGGCCCATACCATCGACAGTCAAGGAAGTGAGAGGTTTTCTTGGGTTATCAGGGTACTACAGACGCTTTGTTCGTAATTATGGTGTCATCGCCCGTCCCCTCACTGCATTAACCAAGAAGGATGGATTTCTCTAGTCAGAAGAGGCCCTTAAAGCATTTAATGACTTAAAAAAGGCTTTGTTATCCACTCCAGTCCTTCGGCTACCCGATTTTTCAAAACCTTTTGTCATAGAATATGATGCTTCATCAGATGGTGTGGGAGCAATATTATCACAGCAAGACCATCCTGTGGCCTATTTCAGCAAGGGGTTCTCTCCATCTAACCGATTTAAATCAGCTTATGATAGAGAGTTATTGGCATTGGTATTGGCGGTACAAAAATGGAGTCATTACCTGCTTGGTCGTCATTTTTTAATCCGTACCGATCATTATACCCTGAAATTTTTGTTAGAATAGCGAATTACCACTATTGAGCAGCAAAGGTTGCTACTTAAATTGATGCCTTATGATTTCTCGATTATTCATAAAGCAGGAAAAGAGAACAAGGGAGTTGATGCTCTATCTCGACGACCTCATTCGAGGAGAATTGTTGACATTAATTGTGCCTTATTGTAGCCCTGTCGAAAATACCCGTTACCCGAATTGCCCGCCCGATTTTTTCGGGTATCGGGTAAATCGGGTCGGGTAAATCGGGTAACGGGTAAATTTTTCCGGGTAATCGGGTTACCCGATTTTTTTTCGGGTAGGGTAAAGGGTATATTTTTTGGGTTTCGGGTATACCCGAATTACCCGAATTACCCAAATTATTTTAAAAATTTCTTTTTTTGTAGAGCTTGTACGATATAGCAGATATTTGATCACGCTTAAACTATATCATTATTGTAAAACATAAATATATATTTATTATGACAATACGACACTAATAATATTAAAAGTAATTTTTAAATATCATCACGTTCTTTAAAACTTAACTGTTTTCTTGATTATAGTTTTTATTGCAACTAACAAACTCATTATCTTGACGAAACTTCAGAACATGGCAAAAACATGGCAAAACTTATGGCTACATTTATCTTAAACATTTTAAACTTTTAAATTAAGATCTTTAGGTATTTGTTTTTTTAACATCTTATTAGATTAGCTTAAGTTGTTAAAAGATTACTTGATATCTTATGATGTATTGACTAAAAAATCTCAATGTTCAAAGCTTGAGTAACTTCGTTTATATCTCGTTTGTTTATATAAACAAGACTAATAAAGCACGACATATTTATTTTATTAAATTTATTTTCAGGTGAAATTCAAAAAAAAAATTATATATTTCGGGTAATACCCGAATTACCCAAACCCGACCCGATACCCGAATTACCCGAATTTAGTTTGGGTAGGGTAACGGGTAATTTTTCTAACATGAAAAACCCGAATTACCCGACCCGAATTACCCGAAACCCGAAAAAATTACCCGTTCAACACCCCTACCTTATTGTGTTGAGGTAGCTGAAATCAAAGCAGGGTATCAAACCGACCCATTTACAAGAGACTTAATTAGCAAACTACATGAAGATCCTTCATCAGCTACTGATTTTTCTCTTGCAAATCAGCTTTTGTTTTATCAAGGGCGTTTGGTAATACCTGAAGTATCTTCCCTCAGGCTAAAACTGTTACAGGAAGCACATGATACTCCACTTGGTGGCCATGGAGGTTTTTTAAAAACCTATAAACGATTGTGCTCTCGTTATTATTGGCTAAAGATGAAACAGGATGTAAGGGTTTTTGTGCAGCAATGTGTCATATGTCAACAACAGAAATACCAAACTTTGTCCCCCGCCGGCTTGCTTCATCCATTGCCCATTCCAAGCCAAGTTTGGGAGGATATTTCTGTTGATTTTATCGTAGGTTTACCCCCATCAGCAAATATGCTCACTTTCTCTGTTTATCTCACCCATTCACGGCTAAAGGGGTAGCAGCGGTATTTTGCAAAGAGATTATCCGATTACATGGTTTTCCTCGCTCTATCGTCTCTGACAGAGACGTGGTTTTTCTTAGCAACTTTTGGCAAGAATTTTTTCGATTAAGTCAAACCAAACTGAAATTGAGCACAAGTTATCATCCTCAAACGGAAGTCTTGAATCGTTGTTTA